AACAATTAAATTGTTTAACAAATATGATAAATAAGAGCATATAAGAACGTTATTATCATTTACCTTTTCTCTAATATTCCATAATTAAATGAGGGTCGCAGATAATTTGGGTAAAAGTGGAAAATAAAATAAAAGTACAAGTATGTGGCCCCTTGACTGAATTTGTGCGGCTCCCAAACTCCCTGAAATGTTTTCAAGGAAAATTAAAGCTTTTCAACATAAACTGAACTGAGTCGCATTCGAGGAGAACTCTGCCGTTACCTAGCAACCCCAGTCAAGCCCAACCCGTCACCTAGCAACCCCAGTCAAACCCAACCCGTCACGTAGCAACCCCAGTCAAACCCAACCCGTCACCTAGCAACCCCAGGACAAGCCCAAAATAAGAGTCAATTTCCGTCAAAAACAAAAAAATTAAATGTTGAGATTAATTTCAGAGATTTTCAATAGATGAAATTTTTTTTTTAGAAAAAACTGGAAAATTTCTCAGTTTGAAAAGTCAAAAATTTGCTAGAAAAAACAACAGAAATTTGAGGTTAAAATCTGAAATTTTCTAGAAAAACTTGGGAATTTTAAAGTTTCAAAATTTGAACATTTTCAACTTTTCAAAACTGAGTTTCAAAAGTTAAAAATGTCAAATATTTCCTAGAAAATTTCGGAGATTAATGTCAAAACTTCAGAGTTTTCTGGCAGAAAGTTGGTCCTTTACATCCATCTGTAATGGCCGTACTACGTCGTTGGGGTGTGCAGCCATTTTCAGTGCGAGTCCAAACATGGAGTTGGGGGCGTGGCCAACAGCGGCTTATTTAAAGTGACAGAGGCCCTAAAAAAGCTCATTGTGAAGGAGCTCAGAATAGACTAAAAACTCATTATGTGAGAATAATTCTGTATAAAAAATTTAACATATGACATATGTTTGCATAGGCAGTGCAGTTTAGTAGTATAGTAGGTAAGTACGTCCCTTTAAGCAGCAAAAAGCAGCATTCAGTTTGATCATCTAAAAATGTAAGCCGCTCTTTTGTTTTATTTTTACCAGTAATCCAATCCCAACAAAACCAGTAAACAGAAAACATCAGTGGAGCACGGAGGAAGAGACAAGAGTGTAAATAATAATAACCACAAAATAAAGTAGGTCACTACAGATACGCTGCAGTCTGGTCCAACCCACACAAACAGAGCCGAGGAAAACAAGCAGCCGTTTCTGTTCAGCTTCCGGAGGAGAGAAAATACAAAATCCACTGCAAGATATTACAAAACGTCTGTTTTCACTGTTCGTCTGACAAACCTGGCAGGAAAAATAACTGCAGTAGCATGAAGAGAGAGTGAAAACAGACGTTTAGATGCATTGTTCAAATGTATTTAATGAACGCACAGCAGAGGCCAGCATTCTGGCCCGCATCACGAGTCACATGATCAACAGCCAGATGTTACTACTGCTGGAAACAACAAAGAAGACAACCGGAAGTGGTAGGAGGATGATGGGTTTTTTACTGTGCGCAAAAAAAAGATTCACGTCTGATTTTAACTGCATTTCTTATTTAATAGAAACACTGTCATGTTTTTCTGACATTAGTGGAACATTGACAAAGTTTTGCACACATTTGTAACTGAAACACATCGAGTGATGCATTCTGGGAATGTTGACTCACCAAACGAAAACAAGCTGAACACAAAAACAGCAAACAAAGTCCAATTTCATGGACTTAAATTAGGAAGTAAAATTTCTTTTAAGTCAAACTGATATATGTATCATTTTAAAGTAGCTGACGGAAACAGTTTCTTTCTTGTGCTATAAAATGGCACCATGTGCCCGGTAAACACATAGCACCGCCCCTTTAATTGAACGATTGAAGCTCGTTGAGTCAGGATGACGTGATAAAACTCACCAGCCAGAACTCCCGCCATGTAGAGCAAACTTATCCGTAAGATGCCGTGAACCATCTCCAAGGGAACGCCGATCATCAGCTGCAGCAGAGCGTTAAATCCCAGCTGCTCCAAACTGAGGAGAGGAAAGGTTTCATTTGGTCTCATCAGCAGCAGCCCGTCAAAAACAGGAGCAGCTCAACATACCCAACATGCATGAACATGTAGCTGAAGAAGCGCCAGACTTGTGCACGGTGGCCGGGGTGGTAGACCAGCGGACTCTTCATGAAGTCCAGCTGGTACGTCTGCAGAACCCACTTATTGAGCATGATGCCGTAGCACATGAACACGATTATCTGCAACACAACACGATTCAAAGACCATCAGGCGTCCTGCCAAACGAAAAACTCATTGTACTTTCTGAGACGTTTTGGTCTTTTTCTGTATTCCTCGGCTAGAATTGAGACAATTACAGCCTGCAGGAGAAAAAAGACACATCTGGTTCAGCTCCATTAATTTCTTTTCATAGGATAATGGCTTATTGTCTCTGTGAATTAAAATGGATGTGAACAGTAATTATCAGACTCTCGCTGTCATTACAGCCATTCAGAGGCGACTGAAGGCGACTCGGCTTTCTGATGAGTTCAGGGAAACCAGGAAGTTTTGTTGGTTATTTTCCCTCAAACTATTCAGACGATGCGATAGAGGACCGGGCCAGGCTAGGAAAAAATGAAACCACGACAGGAGAGTCATATTATTATGAGAAAAAAAATATTACAAGAGAAAAGTCGAGATAACACAAGAAGAAACGCCGGTAAAGAAAGAACTAAAAGTCATGACGTTATACAAATGTTGTATGATAAAAAGTAATAATATGAGAAAAAAGTCGCAACAGAAGAATAAAATCGTACGACAAAAGTTATACAAGAATAAAATCGTAATAAAACGAGATAAAAAGACGATGTTAGGCCGGCTCTGATGCGCCTTCAGAACCCGACGTATTTTTTATTTCCCCAATTGGATCCGTGCTTTAAAGCGTCTTTGGTGACGATCCGACATCAGAGGCTGAATTTCCTGCGGAGGATTTCAGCTTAAAGGAGCGGCGGCTCAACGTGAGCGCCATCAGAGGCAGGAAATCTCCTCAAACAGCCGTCCTGGGAGCGGCTCAGAGAAAGAGGATTGCTGTTTTAGAAAACTCCAAACTCCAGGCCGGCGGGCCAAAACCAGCCCGCCGGACAGTTCTACATGGCCCAAAGAACCTTGAAATAACCGCAGTTCGCTTAACCAATATCTGATCAATCAAATGAAAGCAGTTTTCAACAGAAGAGGATTAGGAGCACAAAAAAAATCTGAATTTTTCTTAGAAATGTGACTTTTTTCCCAGAATTCCAATATTTTCCTCAAAATTTTAACTATTTTCTTCAAATTCTGATGTTTTTCTCTGAATTCTGACTTTGATCTGAGCAAATTAAAGCCAGAATCTTGTTTTCCCCCAGAATATATGTGAAAAGTTCTTCTATAGTTTTCATGCGTTCTGCCAAATTTAACCTGAAATGACGTTCAGCATCATTTAGCTGTAAGAAAAACTCGTCAGGCTCAGGTGAGCTTTAGGTTTGGTTTTGGGTTTTATCAACACATTCTCCCCCCGCCGGCCCTTTAAGACTTCCTGGTTTATTCGTGGCACTGACAGAGGAGCCTCACCTGGACGATAGTGACGACGGCGATGAAGACGGGCGGAGGACAGAGGCGGTTCTGGTGGAAGTACCAGCGCCGGTCCGTCTCACACGGCAGGATCTCGTAGGCCACATAGCGGACGAAGCGTTTGTACAGTCCAAGGCCCGTCTCGTCCAGCAGGATTTCCCTCTGCAGGGTGCGGCGGCCGTTAGCGATGGCGCGCCGGAAACTGCTGGAGCGCTTGCTGCTCATCTGAGGGACAAAAGAAAAAACCTTTTACCCGTTTATGACCCGACATGACTCTGGTTCAGCTCCTTCAACTAACAGTGGAAACTGTCAGTCCGCTGTAATCCGGCTCCGGTTCGGTTGGTGAGGTGTGAACGCTAAGCTAACTCTCCAGACCGCGTTCGGTTGAAGTGAACTCTGGTTCAGTTTGAACGCCAAGCGGACTGGAGACCGCTCCAAAAGCAGGAAGTGGACCACAGCGCAGGGCATTCTGGGTAAACACAACCACATGCTAGCCCAGCGCTAGCAGCAGAAAGGGCTCGTGGATTTTAGCTAAAGACAAAAGAGAAAATGTTTTCATGTCGTTTTCTTCACTAGTTGTGACTGCATTGAGCTTCTAACTGCATGAATAAATCAATAATATATATCGCTGTAGACATGATCAATAAAGAGATAAACCATCTGATAGATTATTGAATATATGAAATAATCCAGGTTGCCTAGCAACAACCTGCCAAGTAACTGGAGCAGTTTGAAGTTTCCCCACTTTGTCTGCTAAAAAATATAAAACATTGAGGGGAAACTGGATAAAACAGGAAATGACTGATATTTAAAACCAAAAACTAATCAAAAATTATTGATCAACTCATATGAAACGCTTATTTCCTGATTCAGCCCTAATCCATACAAAACAAAATCACTAAAGAAAATTATTCGGAAAGATTAACCAGAAAGTTAAAAGATATATTCTGTCAGCTCTAGTTTCTGATAAAAAAGAAGAAAAAGAAATGCTGACTGAGCAGATTTACAAAAAACCCCAAACAGTTTCTATCAACATTTTATTAATTCTGGAGCAAAAACCTTGAGGGTCAAACAGAAACTTTGATGAATTTTCTGTTTATTAAACCAAAGAAGTAAATAACTTCAGATTTTTCCTCATATTTCAGCATCAAATGAAATATTAATATCAAAGTTATGTTGCTGATTTAATTTAGCTGGAAGAGACTCGACAAAACTGCTGCTGAATATTCATGAAGAGAAATGGATTAAAATACATAAGTGGCTTTTGATTGAGATGAAATGAAAGAGGCTGGCTGCCAGCAGCACTGAATCATGGGAAATAGCTGCTAATGGCTTTTTACGCCCATTGAAAGGTGCTTTTTGTTTACAGCAACGTTTTCCAAGGTTTGGGACAAAGTGAGAGCTCTTATGTTCACAGAGCGCAGGTCTGCCAAACTCGAGGCCCACGGGCCAAATCCGGCCCGCCGTAAAGTCTTAATGTGGCCCATCAAAAAATGGACCTTGAAAATAAATTAAATAATATCTTATTAATCAAACGAAGGCAGTTTTAAGCAGAAGAGGATTTGGACCACAGAAGAAAAAAAGCTGGTTTTTCTTTTAGTATTTACCAGAGTCATTCCGACTCCAATCTTCTGCAATCAAAGCTCAGAATTCTGGGAAAAAAACATCAGGATTCTGGGGGTGAAAGAAAAAAATCAGAATTCTAAAAAAAAAAAAAAAATTCAGAATTAAAAAAAAAATCAGAATTCTAAATTCTAAAAAAAACAAAAAAAAAAAAACAGAATTCTGTCAAAAAATTCTCAGAAATTAGATTTTTCACCTATTAGATATGAAAACCAGAAATGTCCTTTCCAAGGCAGTAATCTCCTTCTGTAGTTTTCATATGCAAACTGCTAAATTACATCAATGTGAAATGATGTTCAGTATTATTTAAATTTAAGAAGTACTCATCGAATAATTTAAATTTTATTGGTTTGTTATTTTATCAACATTTTATCACAACCGGCCCTTTAGGGACTTTGATAATCTCGATATAATAAGAATGACTGACATCAGCTACAGAGGCTTAGCATGGAAACCGTCCTAGCGCTGCGGCGGATTCACACCCGACATTTCCTTTCAGCCGGGTTACAAAACGAAGGTTCGGTCGGCACAGCGGGGTCCGTTCAGCGGCTGACGGCTTCAGCTGAACAATGCGGCTCACGGGAAGCTGACGGAGAAACCGCTCTTACGTCTCGCTGAGGAAAACTGACGAGTTGGGAGAAAGGAGGCAGGAGGAGAAGCGGAACAACCTGGAGAGGAACGGCGGGTCAGAACCGGTACCGGAGGACAGAAATACGGAACGAATGAGCAAAAACTCAGCAGCGCAGAAAATAACCAGCAGAACTGGAAAGTATTCACAGGGCGTCTCCACATTACAGCAGGAGTCAGTCGAGACTTAGAGTTAATTTCAATTAATTAAATTGAATGTAAAAACTGAACCGTTTCTCCAGCCGGAACCTTTGTGTTCTCACGTTTCTCATACGTCTGTAAATCTGACGCACATTGCAAACAACAACAACGATTGATGTAGTTTGGAGCTAAATATTTAACTTTAACTAAATAATTAGCTTCAGGCTAAATATCTAGCTTCCAACTTTATTTGGAAGCTAAATATTTAGTTTGAAGCTAATTATTTAGTTAGCAAATTAATTTGCTAAGTTTATAAACTAAATATTTACCTTGATAACTAAATATTTAGCTATAATATTTACAGGAAGCTAACTACTTACTTTCAAACTAAATATTTAGCTAAACTAAGTATTTAGTTCCAAGTGAAATATTTAGCTTGCTAGTTGATATTTTCAGGTTCAAACTGTGACATGATGAAAATATGACTTTGAAGCCCATTTTTCCCCTTATGACAGGATAAATATCCCAAATTACTGCTGTTAATTTTTCACTCTGTGATGCATCAACCTTTTCTCCTTTAACTCTTAAAATCTTGACCCAGGAAGTGAAAGAATGCAGCGTTTGCTGCTGCGCCTCCTGTCTGCTCTGCGTTTACCCGCCGTACGTTTGGCTGGGTGACAGCAACCTGCTGCTCCCTCCCATTCATGTTGCCTCTGTGAAGATTTGTTCCCTGCAGACACGGCTTAGCGTAGCTGTCACTCCGCCTCACCGTGTTCGACGTGCGCCGCCGCCGCCTCTAAAGCGAGCATTAGCGGCCTTTTGAAGTGACGACAGGAGAGAGATGGCGAACAGAACGCGAGGCGGCCCCGAACCTGCGGCGCCGTCAGAGCTCAAACATCTGCACTGAGAATAAACACGCAGCATCAGGAAAATGCTGCCGGAGAAATACTGGAGTTTCCCTGATGAGGAATAATTAATGTTGAGGCCATAAACACAATGTTTAAAGGGGCAGTGTTCTGTAAAATCTTTTTTTAAAAATTTGTTTTAATGTTTTTCGATTATTAAAACGAACCTGGAGTGTTACTTTCATGCATGTTTGAGAAATCCTTCGATCTCCATGGTAACCATTCAGCTGTTAAAACGCCTGGATGGGCCTAGCCCCGCCTTCGAGCCGCAGCTCCTCCCCACTCAGCTCCTTCAGACTAGCCAGCAGCAATTAGCAACCAGCTGCTGAGCTCATTATAGGAGCTGCTGCTCAGAGCAACACTGGTAAAACATTAAAGGGTTAACAGAGGAGCCATGTTGGGACGACTACATGGAGGCAGAGCTTCAGAAAGAGCAGAAGTTCTTAAAGAGACAGACGCCCAATTTTACGGCGTTAAACGGGGTAGAAAAATTTTAATTAAGTCATATGTCATATCTACAGCATTTTTATAACAACTGAAGTTAGCAGTTGCCTGATTGTGCTATAAAACTGCACTATGTGTCTGGAAATCAGAACACCGCCCCTTTAAATCTTTCACTGCAGTTGGAGCTTCTGTCTCCTTTGCTACCAACTGAACCGTTGGCTCAATTCCCTACGTAGATTTTCCACGATGCTGAACATCTGTGGACGTCACTGTTCAAGTTTTTGAAGAGTTTCTCCAGATTTTGCCTCGGCCATCCTGAGACATGAACATATTTACTGTAAGCCGGTGCAGTCCGATATCTGCCAAACGGGCCAAACATTTTGAAGCTAAAAGCTGAAATGTGAAGGAAAGAGCTGCAGAGTTTCAAACAGATTCAAAACAACTGACTAAAATGTCGCCGTTCCCGATTATATTCATGAGTCGAGTGTCGGCCCAAACCTCCATCTGATGCTTTCAGAACCTTAAATCAGCGGGTCTGACCCAGATACTCAGGTTTTTTCTCACATCCTTTCAAAATGAGACTCTGCTCCATTCTGCTTTTCCCCTCAGCAGTTTGTGACCAAACCGCTGCTTCATGGTTTAATCATGGCTCGGGAAAGAAACCTTCGCTCTCCGACATTCAGGCAAAGTGCATCGAGTCGCTGTTTGAAACAAAACGTCGGCTGCAGGCCGAGATGCTGACAGGTAACAAACTGCACTTTGGGCTCCAAATGGCTTTAAAACGCGACTTTTAGAGGAGAGTGTAAAGTTTCTGCTGTGAAGAAAATATGAATATGTGCAGCTCTGAAGTGGAAAAGCGTAAAAAAGAGGCTAAAAGCAACAACACAACATAAAATATTACCAAGTTTTTCTACTGAAAACATCTCAGCACATCTGAAATAACAAACCTAACTTCTCAGGAGCTTGTTTTAAGTCAGTAATTCCTTAATTTTAATAAAAACACAGTATTTCTTATAAATACAAAGGAATTACCGACTCAAAACCAGTTCATAAAAAGTTACCTGTAAATTAGTTTTGTCTAATTTCAAGTGGAATACATTATTTGCACTAAAACTACACCTAAAAATACTTGGTAGGATTTTGAGTTTTTGCAGTGTATATTTGACATAAGAAACAGACAAACCCTTAAAAGTGACCTAAACATTTTCATTCTTATAGCTGTTTTGTAAAACCAGCCTTTCCTGCATGTTCAGTTTTCTGAAGGAAAGTAACCTAAACCCTGTTCGTACACCGAGAATGAATCTGTTCAATCGAGCCAAAAGTAGCGAAACCGAAATGCTAAACAGTTCTTTAATTTACTGTGTTGATAGAAAAGAATGTGATCAAATCAGTTTTATTTGGAAAAACCAAACAGAGATAAAACCAATAGTTATTGACATTAATATCATGCAAAATACTTTTTAAATTTTATTATCTACAAATATTAACATCCAAATGTGCTTTAGCCGTTAGCTTTAACTGTTTGAAGGCAACACTTCAAACTGGCTGGGTGTAAATCAAACCCCCAGTTTGAACCGTTAACTGACCGTCCAGCTGGCTGCCGGGCCGTTCAGCTGACCGTCCGGCCGCCGGGCCGTTCAGCTGACCGTCCGGCCGCCGGGCCGTTCAGCTGACCGTACAGCCACGGGCCGTTGGGCGGACAGTCCGGCCACCGGGCCGCTCAGCTGACCGTACAGCCACGGGCCGCTGGGCGGACAGCCCGGCCACCGGGCCGTCCGGCGGCTCTCGCTGCTCCGCCTGCGAGGATAAGCGTCTGGATTTAGCGATGCGTTAACTGCTGAGACTGATCCTCCTTCACAGGACGGCTTCCTGATTTATCCAGGAGCTTTCCAGCTCAATCGATGCAGTAACCTTTCCTGTTGGACTCACCAGCTCGATGAGCTCCTGGTAGCACACCTGGCCCTCCTCGTTGCTCTGGACCAGCGCTAACAGCATGTCCAGCTTGGACGGGTCCAGCTGCAGCTCATGGTGCTCCACCAAGCTGGTGAAGTTCTCCACTGGGATGAAACCGGTGTTCTCTGGGTCCAACTGCAAGGAAAAACACACCAGCTTAATGTTGACCTGCAGCCTCACATCTTTCTGTAAAAAAAAAAATCAATCAGCGTTTCTCAAAGTGTGGGGCGCGGGCCACTGGGGGCCAGACGGGAAAAAGGTCAGAAAAAAAAAATAATTTAATAGATTTTTAAAATGATAAATCATAACAGCTATTCTGTTTTTATGACAGATTATTAGGGACAGAATAAATATTTTGAGAATAAAGTCTTAATACTGAAAAAACAAACATAGTATTGCAAGAAAAAGTTATTTGAGAATTAATTCATACTAATCAAAAAAATAAAGTTGTGTGAGAGAAAGTGGAAATAATATGAGAATAAAGTCAAAATTATATGAGAAAAATCAGAGCATTTGGATCTAATAGTTTTTAAATGATAAATCATAAAACAATCTGTTTTTAATGACGGAGTAGTAGGGTCAAAATAAGAAAAAAATAAGAGAATAAAGTCATAACACTGTAAAAAAAAGCAAACAAAAACATAATATGATGAAAAAGTTGTATTAGACAAAGTCAAAATAATCCCAGAATAACTACAAGAAAAAACGTTTGTGTGACTGTAAATCAGAATAATGAGAAAAATACAAAAATCTAATCTAATTGAAGTTTTTCAAATAAAACTGGTTATAATTTTTTTAATCATAAAATCAAATTTATTTTTTTGCAGTGGAAAATTAGGGCCACAATAAAAAAATAGTTAGAATAAAGTCCTAATATTACAAGAAAAAAGTTGACATTGTGAGAAATATTTGTGTTTATCTAGATATATATTATTGTTTTATCATCCAGCGACGTGCAGCAGCAGGTTTTAATTTTTCTCTTTTCTGTCCTAAATTTCCCCGCCGCTCCTCGGCGGACAGCTAATTCCTCCTGCCAGCTCTGCTTAGTGCAGCTTTAGCTAAAAACCACCGGAGGACAAACTGAGGAGGCAACAGAGATCCTGGATGAGGAGCCGCTTCTCGTTTCAGCAATTCCTGAACGTAATCGCCTCGTTGCTCCAGACGGAGAATCCAGTCATGTAGGATGTTGCTCATTTCCAGGAGAGGAATCCCATCTGGGCGGCATGAGAATGGGGGCGTTAAGCTGCAGAGCGCGAAGCTCCGCTGCTCACAGAGGCAGAACCAACCAATCAGGACCCACTCTGCTTCCTTTCACTAATTATGTGGGAAATTTCTAGAATCATCAGTAAAAAAAAAAAAAAAAAATTCAGGGTTTGGCTGCAACTGGCAGATTAACATGATTCTTACAACTGCAGAAAAAAAATCACTGCAGATGGATTAGCTGCTATAAAAACAAAAGTATTTGGTTTGCTGGTTGCTAATTGCTGCTGGCTAGTCTGAAGGAGCTGAGTGTGGGAGGAGCTTCGCCTAGAAGGCGGGGCTAAGTCCGCCCAGGCGTTTTGAATGGTTGCCATGGTGATTAAAGGATTCCTCAAACATGAAAAGATCAAAGTAAGACTCCCGGTTTATTTCTGATGAGGGAAAAACATTAAAACACGGTGGAAAGTTTAAAAAGAAAGTCAATTTTACATGATTTAACCCTTTAACTAGAAATCAGTGGAGGGTACTGCTAACTAAAAACCAATAATCACAAACATTAGTTCTGCTACGCGACGTCATGCTTTTAAGAAACATGATGAGCATCAAAACAACCCACACATGTGCTAACTCCTGTAAAGTTAAAAAGAAACCTAAGAAAATTTTTACCTGAAGAGTCACAGAAACTCATTTTTGGGCTGAAATGACGTCCTAGACGTTGTTTTGTGAGCAGTGCTATTTTCTTTCTGCTTATGTTAGCGCCCTAAAACAGGATGTGGACTACAGCGCAGAGCATTCTGGGTAAAAACAACCAAAACAAATATGCTAGCATAGCGCTAGCAGCAGAAATGGCTTGTTGGCTTCAGCCAAAGACTAAAGAGAAATCGCCTCCATCTTATTTCCACCTGGTGAAGAAGGAAGTTGCTCTCGGTGTCTTCAGAGGATTTTGTGTCGTTTCCTTCAGTGGTTCTTGGTGCAGCGCCCCCGCAGGCCAGGAGGGGAACAGGTTGCTCAAAGGCTTTGGTTGGTTTGACTGAAAATTAAATAAATGTTGCCGTTTGGGTCCCAAATCACACAGAATCTACCGGATTATCAGATGTGAAAACATTCCTCACCAGAGTCAAACCCGCTGAATATTCCTGACAGTAATCAGTGATTTGTGATCCTAAAACGCAGATGAAGCCAAAGCGGAGGGTGAAAACGAACTGAGGTGGCAGAAAGCCCAGGGCTATTTTTAGATAATCCCCCTTTTACTCCGAGGTCTGTGGGTATTTGCTGAAAGGCGGCCCTGTTTCCCCTGAGGGGAGCCGAGCAGCACGGTGCAGAAATCTGCAGTGTCGGTAACGTACGGCGTAGCAGGACAAGGGGGGAGGAAGCAGAAAAAAGGGGAGAATGGGTGTAAGAGGTTGATGAAAAGAATGAGAAACGACGACATTAAGGAGGAAGTCGGCCTGCAGCGAGGTGTGCCACACTCCATCGGTCCGCCTGCACGTCCCAGAGGGCAGACAGAGATCAGACTGGAATACGCTGATCACTGCTGGAGGGCCGACCCCGAGCCGCCGCCACGGCAACCCCGAGCCGAAAACATTTTTCAACAAGAATGAATTTTCTGTTTAATGGGTTGACAGTCACACTTTTCTCTTTAAAGTTGTTCTTAAATCCACTGCGTGCGCTGGAAGTGAATAAATGAGAAATTCTTTGCAGATTTCTAAAGCAAAATCTCCAAATTCACAGAATTAGTGTTTTAGTTTCTGTGTTGTATATTTTCTGATAACTTTGGACAGCTCAGAAAAATAAAAATGTGATTTTGACTCATTGTCAAGATATCTTGAATTGTAACTTTTCAAACTCACGTTATTTTAGATATCTTGAAAGATAGTTTGACTCAACAAAATTGGAGAGATATTAAGTTCTGAGAATGTGAATGCAGAAATATTAAATTAACATTCAGGATTGTAGAAATGCATTCTCAGATTTCTGGGATGTGAATCAAACTGATTTTATGCTATAACTGCCTGCCATAAAACCAGAGAAGCACAGAGAGGGAAGCAGCTATTGAAGCAATCCATCCAACACCAGTGAAGGCGACGCTTTAGACGAGCCGCATGCGTTGCTATGGTTACCGGCTGCATTTCCCCCGCCCGATGATCCCCTCCGACATGTTGGCTTCCCAGAGGCGGAAGCAAAGAAACTAAAGATTTTCCGCCTTCAGAAGATTGAAGGAAGGAGAAAAAGGGAGAGGATTTGAGGAGAGACGGCGTTTTGGGGGGTTGAGCTGTAAACGGCGGTGGGCGACCATCGACAGGAGGGCGGGGCGGCGGACGGATGAGGAGAGCGAGGAAGGAGACGGACGGCGACGTGTTCCTGAGTCGGAGGAGAGCAGAGACCTGCTGAATGAGGCGAAAACGTTCCCTCAGCAACGTTACGTCAGAAACAAACGCTTCACCCGAAACCTGAGGCCGTTGAAAAACATTCAGCAGGTGGGTCAAAGGTCAAAACACCTGGAGGAAACGCTGCATGAAGAAATCTCACAGATTGTATTTAAAACTAGCAACTCAGAAAACTCAGATTCTGAATGAAACTGAACATCTTGGCGCAGAAACTAGTTTATTTAATGAGTAATTTACTTTCACTATGCTGCACCTTTTACTTCTACTTTAGTAATTTTATTATGAATTATTACTTCAATAAAATTTCTGGATTTTTATTGAAAGAAACTGATTTGGAAAAATTTATTTTGTCTGATTTTATTTTTTGTTACTTGTATAAATTGTAATTTTGGTTTTTAAAATACCAAAATTTCCACTTAACTTTAAATTTTGGTCCATCTGATGATGTAATTTTTAAATATTAAGTGATTGATAATTTGATCAGTTCATCAGTATTTGAGTAACTTTTTAATTTCTAGACAGCTACTTTTTACTAGAGTAAAAGTATGTTGAAGTATTGCTACGGTTACGTGAGTATTTATTGGGTACTCTACCTCCCTCTGACCATAACTACATGATTTCTATATGAAAAGGAAAGATTTAAAGTTTGTACAATGGCAAAAGGCAAAAAACAACAAATGCAATAGAAACACGTTGCAAACACAAAGGAAACAGGAAATAGAAGCAAAAGATAAAGTGCTGCAAACTGCAGCAACATTGAGTACAAAACGCTACAAATGAGCCACATGAAGCATAAATCCTCCAGGCCACTAGGGGGAGTCAACCAACAAAAAAAACAACAGATCCTCAGTGAAGGCGGGATGCCATGACTCAAAGGGACGAACAGAAAAGAGTTGGAGGAAGAAAGAAAAGGTCATACTTTGAGGTCGGACCAAGGTCACAGCGATCCAGTTGAGCAGTTTGGGTTTCAACATGGCGGCGTCCAGAAACCTGGTTTCTAATACAACTTATGAACTTCGTTTCAAGCCTTACTTTTCACACAAACACCTCTTCTAATCTGAGTTCATGCAACACTGATTTTAGATTCCACTACAGATTTCAACTGTTTACGCGAGGAGCGGCCATTTTGAAACGCAATGTCAGCCGTAAAAATTGTGACTGTAGTCGCAGTTTTTCCCAGTTTCCCTGTGAGAAATCTGACTTTGGATGTTTTCAACTGGGAAGTCAGAATTTTCCAGTTCTGAGTAGAACTGGAAAGCAGCATTTGTGTCTCTTTCAGCAGCACTTTTATGTCGGTAATATTACTTCCTCCAGGCTCCCCCTAGTGGCCTGGAGGCCCACTCTCACTGTGGAGAGAGTTTATATCTGCTGTTATTTATGCTGTTTGAGACATTTCTGCATTTCAGAATAGCATAAAATGGAGAATAGTCTTTATTCTGTTCATACCATGATTATTTTTTGCAGCATTTTCTGTTTGCAATGTTTTTTTTATTGTCAGTTTTTGCTTCTGCTTTCTGTGATTGTTTCCAGTGTTTTTTCTGTTTGTGT